CTCCAATCTGCTTGTTCATTGTACAATGTGCTTCTTTTAAGGCCCCGTTTTTGTAACTTGAGTGTGTCATTCATCTGAACAACAAACATCAAAAAATAAAAAATTAAAAACTGTACAGAAAGAAAACAATACCTGCTCTCGTTTGGTCTCTGAACTTTCTTCTGGGAAAGGTGGTGAGGAAATCAAGGTGAGATAGGGATGTGTGAGGTGGGCAGGGGTGAGAGGTGCAGGAATTTCACTTCTGTTCAATAATACGTATTTTGAAGGCCTGAACAATTTTTTTTTTTCACCATTAAGAAAACTAAGCCTCGGGGCTGGCTTTAGCCCATCGGTTCCTTCGAGTCTGGCTTCCCAACCGCCCAGGGCCAATTGGTCCAGTGGTTCGAGACCCGAGGGCGCTCTCCAGTCCTTTAAACAAAACAAAACAAAAAAAAAAGAAAACTAAGCCTTAACTCAGGATGAAATTCAGATTCCTGCATTCAAATCAGAGTTTTGACATTTTATGAGATCTTTGTTATATGAGTTTCCCCCTTGTCATCTGTATAATAGGAACAATACCTACCTCATAGGGTTGAGAGAATTGAGATGCTTTACCTACCTCACAAGGTTGAGAGAATTGAATGCTTTAGGATGGACTTATCTCCAGCACATTGTCTTCAATAAATGAAACTCTTAAGAAGACCAGAAACCAGCAAGTACTTTTCTACTTCCATCTTGGATGATTCTTCAGAGAATTAAAAAGATGCTTTAAAACCAGAGTGGATTTCGAGGCTGTCTAGTAGTATAACATATACGCTGCGACCCCTTTCTTCTTAGAGGTACAACTTTTTTTTTTTTTTTTGGTACTGGCAATCAAACTCACAACTGTGGCACTTGCAAGACAGGCGCTTATGCCGCTGAGCTAAATCCCCAGCCCCAGAGGTACAACTCTCACTCAAGTTATTTTGCTCATCTTACATAGATCATTGGCATAAATGACAACAGGCCAGGTCAAACCATGTTACCACCAAAAATCAGGTAGTCTTAGCAGTCTGAGAAAGCAAGCCATGGGGTTTCCTTGCTACTGTGCAAGCAAATTCAAATAGGATCTAGCAAATTCAAAGGAAGGCTAGGGGAACAGGAGCAGGAAGTTAGAGGAGGGGTTTGATAATTTAGTAATATAAAAAATATTAGTACTGCATCATTTGGGCTCACAATGGGATTTTTTTTTTTTTTTTTTTTTTCCCTTCAATCTATTCCTATCACAATGGCATTGTAATTTGTCTGCCAGGTGGCTTGACCAACTGATGGTACATGCATGACTGTCCCCTTGGGTGGCTTATGCCATTGGTGGTACAAACAGATCTAGTCACTTTTATTATTCTTTTTACAAATAAATTAGTAAAAAGCCAGCTGACAGGGCAGTCATGCATGTTCCACCAGTGGCTAAAGCCAGCGGGAACATGTTAAAAGAAAAAACAAGGACTGGGGGTTATAGCTCAGTGGTAGAACAGTTGTGTAACACATATGTAAGGCCTTAGATTCCATCCCCAGCACAAAAAGAAGAAAAAAAAAGGCCCTCTTCATTTCTTATAGACTAATCAGCAGGAATGGAGTTTCAAAATAGTATGCCGAAGGTACACTTCTCTAATTCCAGCACTCTAGGATCACAAATTTGAGTCCAGCCTGGGCAATTTAATAATTTAGTGAGAGCCTATCTCAAAATAAAAATATAAGCCGGGCATGGTGGCACACACTTGTAATCCCAAAACTCAGGTTGCTGAGGTAGAAGGACCGATGTGAGTTTGGAGCCACCCTGGGTTACATATAATGAGTTTAAGGCAGGCTGAACTATGTGGTAAGACTCTGGTTAAAAAAAAAAAAAAAGAAAAAAATGAAACAAGAAAAGAGACACAAAAAACCCCTAAAGAACAGAAAGTACAAAAGGGCTGGAGATGTAGCTCAGCGTGAATGCCCTGGGTCCAATCTCTAGTACAAATAAAAAAAGTCAGATGAGGAAGGTCTTTCCTTCCAGTCTCCAGGGTTCAAGTTGCTACAGTCAACCCTATAGAGAGCAGTGGTGAACCTATAACATGTGTGCTGTTATCACTCAAAGCTCTAAAAGGTTCACTGTTATAGACCATCCCATGACAGACAGATGCCACACTTGAGAGTACCCTGGGAGGAGCGGCACTTGTCCTGAAGCCTCAACGTATCCACCTGTCAAGCTGTGTGGCGGCGCACACTTGTAATCCCAACACTTGGAAGGCTGAGGTAGGAGGATTGTTACAAGTTTGAGACCAGCATAGACTACAAAGCTCAAGGTCAGCCTGAACTCCATAGCAAGACTCAGTCACAAAAAGACCCTCCCCAAAAAAATTCCACCTGTAACTGGTGAATGTGTGCCACCTTCCACAAACACTCTTGGGATTCCTCTTATCAAAAGCATATTGGAAACTGGGCATGGTGCCACACAACTGCAATCCCCACACCTAGGGAGGGTGAGACAAGAGAATCCCAAATTCAGCACAGCCTGGGCAGGACACTATTTCAAAATAAAAGGTGGGGGGCGGTGAGACAGGGGATGTAGTTAATTGTGAAGGCTCTGGTTTCAATCCCCTGAACTCCAAAAACCTGAATAAACCAAAACAAAAAGTCTACTGGGCACTAAAGGAGCAGTGTTCTATCCTTTTAATTATTTGGCTTTCACAAATCTCATTTATAATTTGGAGTATATAAAATTCTGATTCTTGAGTGTTACCCTAAATGCTCTTGCAGAATCCAAATCCCAGGGGGAGCTGCCTAATACCCATAACTAAAGCTTGACAACTTTTGCTTGTCCTGTTTGAACATTAGCATTTAACAAATAACTAGTGCTTTTTTTTTTTTTTAGAACAATGGTTCATCCATCATCTGTTAAGTTTCAGTAGGGCATAGGGAACAATGGATCCTCTGATTTTTTTCTTTTTGTCTTTTTCATTTTTATCGGTACCAGGGATCGAACTCACGACTGCCTGCTTGCAAGGAAGGTGCTTATGCCGCTGAGCTAAATCCCCAGCCCCTGGATCCTCTGGTTTTGTGTCTGCACACATAAACTTTCCTCAGGGGAGTCTAAGCTTTTATTATAGGCTCCAAAACAGAACAATGGAGGAAAGAGAGTTATTCCACTGTCACAGAGCTATTCTCTGCTGAAACTACCTTTTATCTTGTGGCCAAACAGCACCCTAAGTAGACAGCACCCTCCTCTATTGTCCCTTTGTTTGATCCTGCCTGATTTTTATCTGGTAATTGTACTAAGGACTTATTTGATGACTTTCAGGATATTATAGCTTTTTGAGAAGAGGCAGTTCAGGAATGAATTTTTTTTCTTGGGGATTAGGGGGATGGATCTGGCATGCTGGGCTATAAAGGCTGGAGGGTATGTAGTTACTAAAGATGTCTGTGATCAACACGCTCTGGTGGGAAACAAATGCTCAACAGAGAACTAATCTTCATTAAGTGCTGTCAGAATACCAAGTACATAAAGCTTTCTCTTTCTGGAAATTATTACAACAAACATGTTGTTTAAAAGTTAGTAAAGAAGCAGCGGCATTTGGAGAGATGAATTCTAGTTCTGGTTCTACTGCCTGTGTGGCTTTGGTAACTTTCTTTAAGCAACAGATTAAACCAGTGATTTTTTTCAAATGTCCCAGGGCCTCAGTACCCACAGAGGGCCAAAGGCCTGAAGGAGGTGAAGGGGGCAGAGTAAAAGGGAAGCCTAGTCTTTCCTTTCCTTAAGTGTCAACACAAATAGCTTCCCTTTTACCTCTCATGTCCTGGGGTTCCAAGAGTTCCTCCCAATAGAAAGATCTGGAGAAATCTTGTCTTGCGGAAACACTAGCACAGCAACTGAGCATTCCCATTGGCCACATATTCCCTATCTTGCTTCTTCTCCAACTATGTAAAACAAACACAGTGAATAAAAAGGCAGATGGTTGGATAACCAAATAAAACCAGACTTAAATTTAAGCTCTATTTTGTCTGGGTTGAGCTGATCTTGGCCAAGTCACTTCAATGCTTTTTACTTCAGACTCCTTCTCTGTTCTCTTCACAGGACAATGCAATATTAGTGTGTTCCAAGAAAATACTTGAGACATACTAGGCATTCAAACACTGGCTGGCCAGCCAGCCTACTACTCCCACTTTCCAACGAAGACCTACTGACTATGCCACAGTCTAACTATAGCTTGGTATGTGTATATATGTGGGGGCATATTTCAAGGCACCTCATGTTTCCTACCCCAGCTACATTATTCTCCAATCCACTGCTGGGTCTGGCCCAGGAACTACATTCCTCTATTGCCCCAGAGATCAGGCCTGACCTGACAGCCTGCAAAGATCCAGTGAAAAAGCCTAACTGCCTTAGGGTACATGGCCCACATGGAGACGGAAGTGGAGGGACAAGGGTGATAAGAATCTCAGGAATGCCAGGCATGGTGGTGCACACCTGCAATCCCAGCAATCTGGAGGCTAAGATCATCAGGAGTTCAAGGCCAGTCTGAACTGCCTAATGATACCTTGTCTCAAAAAACAAACCCTCAAGATTTGTTTTTTGTCTTTTTGAAACAGTGTCTCATTATTCAGTTCAGGCTGGTCTTGAACTTGCAATGATCTTCCTGCCTCAGCCTCCCAGGTGCTAGGATTAAATGTGTGTGCCACTGAGCGCAGCTCTCTCAAGATTTATTTAAATTTCGCCTCCTTCTACATGCAAATAGCTTTAAGCTTTTCCATAGGGTTGCAAGGACCTCTAGTGGCAAAAGTGCCACATTGCCTCCATCTAGGAAGTTTTCCCTGAGAGCCATGCCCAAAGGACTCTGCAGACTTATCAACCCAGCAAGGGTTTAGTGAGCTCCTACTACCTACTGGGCCTTGTTCTGGGTGTTGGGAACACAGCCACATGAAGTCAGATCCAGTACCTGGTTCCATGACCCCCAAACTCCACTCTAGACAACTAGGGCTGACAAAAAAAAAAAAGACATAAATGTTCAACTTACATTTATTGACTTCACTTTGGGGCCACCAGGTGGGGTGGGGGCACCTTTAAGCATAACAAGGACCCCAGAGCACCCCCCTCTGAAAATAGAATATATCCAATTTTAGAACTTACATGGCAGTAGGAGGGGAGGAGGAAGGGACACAGTATGTACAGAGGCTTATGGGGATGTTAGAGAAGGGCCTTCAGCAACAGGGCACAGTTGTGGAAGCACAAAATGGGGTAGTTAGCCACTGATCTGAACCCCATCAGCCTCAGCCAGAGGGTAGATCTCAATGGCTTCCACCAAAGGCAGTGCTTCCACTGCAGTCTCCATCACAGCCAGGCCAACAGCTGCTTCCGCCTCTGCCAGCTGCTGCTGCACAGCTGCCTGATGCTGCTGCTGGTGGGTCTTGCGATGCTTCCAGAGATTAGAGAAGGAGCGGTAGCTCTTGCCGCAGTCAGGGCAGGAGTAGGGCCGTTCACCAGTGTGGATCCGGCGATGCTCTGCCAGGCGCATGGAGATAGCAAAGGCCTTGCCACACACTTCACAGGCAAAGGGCCGCTCACCTGTGTGCAGACGCCGGTGGTCTTTCAGGTGAGTACTTTGACGGAAGGCCTTACCACAGTCTGGACATGGATATGGCCTCTCGCCTGTGTGGATGCGTCGGTGTACCTGCAATGATGTCTCTGTGCTGAAGAGCTTCTTGCACTCGCTGCACTCTAAGCCCCGGCGTCGAGCAGGAGCTGCAGGGGCTGTAGTGGTAGTACCACCGACAGCTGCTGGGGCAGTGACTGGTGTGCGAGTGGCCCTCGGAGCCCTAGGAGCCGGGGGCTCCTTAGCCAGGACCTCTCCGGGGCCGGCAGCTGCATGAGCTGCCTCATGTGCCTGCAGCCGAGCAGCCGAGCCCACCTTCTTGCCACAGGTCCCACACTCAAAGCGCTGTGGGGCTTGGGTGGCAGCTGCTGCGCAGCGGTGCTCTCGAAGCCGCAGTGAAGAGGGGAAGGCCGCTCCACAAGATGGGCAGCGGTGGGGCTGGCGCCCAGCATGAGCCACGAGCTGGTGCACCTCCAGTAGCCGGCGCAGCAAGAAGGAGCGTGGGCACTCACGACACTTGTAGGGGTACTCACCAGTGTGGTGGTAGCGGTGCATGAGCAGGCGGTAAGGGCGGTGAAAACGCACCCCACATTCCTGGCAGCGGTAGGGGAAGTGCTGGGCATGCACCAGGCGGTGCTGCCTCAGGGTAGAGCTCTGTGTGAAAGCCTTGCCACAGTCCCCACAGCGATAGGGGCGCTCCCCAGTGTGTGTGAGTCGGTGACGGGCTAGGTTGGCAGGTGAATTGAAAGGCTTGGAGCAGTCAGGGCAGGGGAAGGGGCGCTCCCCTGTGTGGGTACGTAGATGGTTCCGCACATGAGACTTCTTCTTGAACATCTTGCCACAAATGCTGCATTTATGGCGCCGCTCCAGGCGGTGCACAAAACGTTGGTGCCGGGTCAGCTGCAATGCCTTGCCAAATTCACGGCTACATAAGAGGCAACGATAGGTGCCAGAGGCAGCGGGCTCTGCTGAGCTCTCCTCAGACACAGGGGGTTCTGGGGCCTCTGGTTCTCCAGTCTCTGCTGGGGCTGGCTCAGGAAAACTGATGACAGGTTCCTCTGGTGGAACTGGGGTTGTGGGCAGAGGGACACCCCCTGCTCCATGGGTACGCCGGTGATAAAGAAACTTGGTGAGGTTTACAAAGGTCTTCCCACACGGACACGAATGCAAAGGATTTGGGGTGTGGGCTCGCCGGTGTGCCAGGAGGAGGGCCTCTGTACCGAAGGCCAGGCCACAGTCTACACACAGAAAGTGGGACTCACTACTGTGGTCTCCAAGGTGCTGGTCCAGACTAGAAGGGCTGGGAAAGACACGACTGCACAAGGGGCACTTAAAGACACCCTCTCGGTGACTCCGCAGGTGCTGCTGTAGCTGGTGGGGCGAGAGAAAGAGCTGGTCACAGGCTGAGCAGAAGAGCTCCTGGGTAGCTGTCCCGCCTGGGTCTCCACTGTTGTTCCTCCGTGGCCTGCGCCCACGGCGATCTCTTCCAATGGCTTCGCCATTGCGCAGCTCATAACTGTGGTCAGAGGCTGGCAGAGGGTCAGGCTGAGACACAGGTACTTCTACAGGTGATGGAGTCAGAGTCTCCGGCTGTAAGGCAGGCTCCTCAGATTCTGGGGCAGGAGCAGGAAAGTGGGTGGCCTGATGCTCCAGGAAGTCAGCTGGCAGCTGGAAGAGCTGGGAACATTCAGAGCACTTATAGAGAAGCAGCTCCACCTCAGTCACGACCTCAGTGGTAGTGGCAGCTGCAGATGGAATAGCTGCCCCTTCCCCACCCTCTTCTGCCTTCCGGTAAGAGTGTTCCACAGCCACGCGGGCCTGGCCAACAGGGGGACCCAGGACAACTGGAGACCCCAAGACCACTGGGGCAGACGGCTTGGTAGGTGTTGTCCGGAGGTGGGTCTGCCGGTGGCTCAGCCAAAGTTCCTGGCTGGCAAACAGAGCCTTGCAATCCACACACTCATAGTGGATGGTACTGGAGCTCAGTGGGGGTACCTTGGGTGGTGGCTCAGCTGGCACTACCTCCTGAGGTGCCATCATCTTTAAGTGCAGCTCCTGGTGCTCCAGGAGCTGGCTGGGTGACATCAGCAGCTGCCCACACTCTAGGCATTGGTACTGACTCTCCTGTACTAAGGTCTGATAGAGGCCTGTGCCTGAAGCTGCCTCTGTGGCAACAGTGACACCAGGGTCAGCCACACCCACGAGCTCAAAATGTTGCTGAGGCACGTGGGAGTTCTGGTGCACAAGCACCTCCTCCAGGGATCCATACAGCTGATTGCACTCAGAGCAGACATAACGGTGCTCGATGTACAGGACCGTCTCTTCTGACTCTTCAGTCATGGCAGCATCGAGGTCCTCACCTACAAAAGGGTAGAATGCGGACAAATCAGTCCTTCCATGGGGCAGTTCTTTCCCCTACCTATATAATACCTTATATACCCCCACCCCTGAAAACTTCTTCAGTTTTTTTCATTCTAACTCCCCACCCTAACAATCTTTTGTTCCTTGAACAAAAACATCAAACATGGAAGATAGTCCCTCTACCCCTATCTCACCTCTCAGCCAATTCCTATCAAACTCTACCCACCAGATCTTTATAAACTATCCAATTCCCTTATCCTCCCAGTCACAGTAGGTCCCCAAGGTCCTGTTCTGTATAAAGAAACTGTCACTTCCACTCACAGCTCCTTCTAATTTATGCTCTCCTCCCTATGTTCTCACCAAGGTGCTCAAGACAATCTTCACACAGGTCCCTGACCCATTCCTCTCAGCCACATACCTCCCATGGCCTTTGGGTTTTAGACTTATTTTTATACCCAGATCACTTAACTGCCCCAATGCCATGCAACTTCACTTTTGTTTGTTTAAGACAGGCTCACTATGTAGTTCCGACTGACCCTGAACTAAGTAGTTCAGGGTGGCCTCAAACTCACTGCAATTCGCCTGCCTCAGTCTAAGTGCTGGGATTACAAGCACACACCAAACATTCAGTCACTACTTCACTTTTGACAAGACCTTTCTTTACACACAATCACTGCAAACCAAAGTCTCCTTCTGTGCCCAGATTCCCCATTCAAACCAATCCTTCCTCTAGTCTTCTCACATTACTCTAACCCATCTCCACATCCAGACTTTTCCCATTTTAACCACTTCTTAATGATACCCAGACCCTCCTCTTGAAACTACTTAAACCTCAATAAATCAAGGGTCTTTACCATAACCAACTCCCATATCCAGAATATCCAGATCCATCTTCATAAAAGCCTAATCCTTTCTTCGTAGCTAGACCTTTCCTGTAATCCTATGACATGTTTCCACGGTATGGTATTCAGTCTTCACGTTAATCACCATTTCTCTGTACCAAAACCAAACCTACAATTTTAATGCCTTCTGAGAACCTTCACATTGACTTAAATCTCTCTTCTTTTTAATTTTTCTTTCTGAGACAGGGTCTTGCTATGTAGTTGAGGCTGGCCTTTAAATCACTATGTAGCCCAGCTGGCCTTAGTGATCCTCCTTGCTTCAGCCTCACAAATGCTGGGATTACAGGCATATGCCATAACGTCTAGTTATATTAAATACCGTTTTATCATACACACCAATTCTAACTCATCTGGGAATGTCCAAATCTCCTCCTCATATCAACATAAGATTTTTTTTTTTTTTTTTTTGTATTTTTGGGACAGGGTCTTGTTATGCAGTTTAGGCTGGCCTTGAGCTCACTTTGTAGCCCGTATTGGTCTCAGACTCACAATGATCCTCCTGCCTCAGCCTTCCAGAGTGCTGGGATTAGAGGCGTGAGCTACCACACCCAGTAAGACTCTCTTCTTTGGGTAAAAGCCCATGCCAACCCTAACTCACTTCAGGGATTCCCAAAGCCCCACTCCATATAAAAAAGAACCACTTCTTTGCAAAAAGATCCCCACACATGAACTCAGTCTAGGGATATCCGGATCACTTTTTGGTGATTTAAACTCCCTTCCCACTGCCCAGAATCCCTTCAGGGATACCCAGGCACTCCAAATTCATCTCCTACAGAACCCCTATCAGCATCCTAACCCAGTAGACAGACTCCCCTCTTCCTTTACCAAAACCCTTCCTGACTCGGTATCAATGTAGCATCTCGTTCTAATTCCAGAAATATCCAAACTATGCCTCTCTCTTTAGCATAGATCTCTCCTGGATATCCAAATTCATCTTCACCTTGGCCTAGTTACCAGTTCTTTGAAACAACGACAACAACAAAAACTACCTCCCTCCAGTTCACTCGTGTGACACAGCGACAGGAACTCTTTCCCCATGAACATAACCCTTTCTACAGAGAATCTGTTCAACACTTCCAAAAGTTACCCCACCCCAGCTATCACTTTTAATACCTCTTCACATTAATTTAACCCCATTCTTCACACCTGGACCTCTCCTTTAACCTCCTTTTGCGGGATATCTGTTTCCTAATACCTTTTCAAACCAAGCCCTCTACCCTCATTCTCCCCAGGCATAATTAATTTCCACCCCACGTTAACTTCATTATCTCTTTTCTTGCACCCTAAACTCTCCCTCACTCCCGTGCCTGACCCCCAAGAGTCCTCTAGCCGCCCCTCTTCAGTGCTGGACTACTTTTGCTACCCAAGTCCTTTGCCCACGGCGCCTAGAAGCCTCCTCCAGAGCAGCTCTAAGGCCTTCCATTCCTATCCAGCCCCCCACCCTATTTTGCAGCCGGAGACCGTGCCCTGCTCAGCCCTGCACGCGATCCTAGCCCCTTTCCCACCCTCCGTCCCGGCCCGCCCCCGACCGGCCGTCCGCGCGCCCCGCGGCCGTTGGTGCCGCTCCGCCCTCGCCGCCCGGCGCGCGTCCCCTCCGGCCCTCACTGCGCAAGCCGGGAGATTAGGGCAGGCCCGGGTGGTGGGGAGGGGGCCGAGCTGGTCCTCCAAGGGCCCGCCAGTACTCACCTGCTTCAGCTGTCTCGAACACCCCAGGCCCCGGTCACGGCCAGCCTCACACCAAAGCTTAGCACCGCGTCCTCTCTAGCTCTCGCCGTCTCCTCTCGCCTCCTCCACAGCCTAGCTCTCGCCCCCGGCCGCCCTCAGCAACGCCCCTCCCACCTTCCTCCTCGGCCGCTGCACAGACGGCAAAACGCGCCCAATCACTGCCCGTCTGGCACCTGCTGCCCAGCCAATCGACAATCATGTCTATGAGGTTTGGGCCAATAGGGCAAAGGGTAGGGCTCTCCCTTGGCGCCTAACCAATCCTCTAGCGACGTTCACTCATTGGCCAGCCCTCAGGTTGATAGTGCCCGCCTCTTTAGCCTGGAGGATGCTCCTCCTCCAACCTTTCTTCGACTCCGCCTCCGACTCGAGGAGCGCTGAACGGAGGCCAGCGCGATGACGTCAGTAGGCGGGGCGAGACTGTGGGCGCCATCTTGGGGGTGCTAGGCTAGAGTTGGCATTGGATATTGGGGGAGGTGCCGGCAATTGAGGTGTTTGTTACCCGACAGCAGGAGGAGTGGAATTGAAGCGCTGGAGCTCCTGAGGGCAAAAGAGAGAAAGTGAAACACCACCCAGAGTGAAAGAAGAGGGGGGAGGGGGAACTGGCATCGATCACAAGGAGGAATAAACGTGGGAACCGAGATACCAGGCTGGTTCTATTACAGGGGAAAAAAAAGAAGAGAGTGGAAAAAGGGAACGGGGCAGTGGGATGGGTTGGATACACTGTGTTGGTAAATCGAGGAGTCGGGAAACGAGAAAAACTCAAGGGATACGGGAGGAAATGGGAAATGAAGAAAAAGAGCAAGTTTCGTTCAAAGAAACGCGGTTAGAGGACCAGAGAACAGTCTCGAGTGAGAGCCTGAAGGTGATCCTATAGCAGTAACAGACTATTTGCTGCCTGTCACCTGTCAGGGTGACTGACCTTGCACAGCTCAGGGAAGATGAGACCACGTGTGTCCAACAGACTGGCCCAGCTCCATTGCCAGTGTTTTCAGAGAGGGCTGAAGGTGTGGCTAAGTACAAGAGCAGGGCACTTGCCTAGCCCGCACAAGGCCCTGGTTTAAATCCCCAAACCAAAACCATCACCACTGCGTTTTCAAAGAGCTACCCGTGCACTCAAGGACAGGGGAGCTGGAAGAAATGCACTTGGTCAGACCTCCCTGACCCTTCTCATTTCTCAGATGAGGAAACTTCGAGGTATTTACCCACCTGAGGCCAAAAAGGTACCAGGAAGCCACACACCTTAAGATCTAGGTTTGACTTTTTAGTCACCTTTGCTTTGCCTTTCTGTTACTTTCTGAGTGTCCTAGCTTTCTACTAATTCCCTAAGATGATTCATGTTGGTTATACCAGGCTGCCTGGACTGCAGTCCTGGCCCTGTCACTTTCTGTGACCTTGAGCAAAGCAACTCCTCTTTGCCTCGGTTTCCTCATCTATAAAATGGGGGGTAAAATAACAGCCTCTGTCTCAAAGGGTGATTGTGAGGTATGAAGCCAAAGCTATTTATTAGAATCTCAAGGAGCCCAAAATTAATAGCTGACATCTGAGTATGAGGTGATGTGCTAGAAATTATGCCTAGTGCTTTCTATGCATTACTTAGTTTAATCCTCTCAAAAACTCTCTGAGGGAAAAACTACTTTCCTGAGTTTACAAAGAAATCGAGGCCCAAAGAAGTTAAGTAACTTGTACAAATTCCTATAATTAGGACAAGACAGAGCCAGGATTCCAACCCAGAAGTTGATCCTACCTAAGAGCTGTACTCTTAGTCCCCAGCCTCCATTGCCTGGCAGGCAGGATGGTCTCTAGTTGTATGCTGAGGGTGCATGACAAGCAGAGCAAGAGGCTGCTGGAAATTAATGAGCTCTTAAAGCTAGGGCCTGTCTGCACTCAGGCAGTCTGGGTTTGTCCTGAGGGCAATGACACGCGACATGGGAGCCAAAGAAGAAACCAGGCTCTGCCTTGGACTGGTATTGTGCACTTAGGCAGGTTTTTGCTGCTGTTGAGGCCTATTTTTCCTCACTTGAAAAATCTAAGGGATGAATTTAGCTTTTTAGAGTCTTTTTTCCTAGATTAGAACCTTCTACTTGGACTTTCCAATTTATTTGAGTTAGTGAGGTCTTTTCAGATGATACAGGAGTAACTAAAGTGAGGCCTGGTCAGGCATACTGTAGATGGTAGCAGTGGACCAAGCCTTCTGTAATGGATTGCATTTAGAGAAAATAGGTGTTCTATATTAGGGTCCCTGCATAAGCAAAGGCCTAGTCTGGGCCACAGGCCTGGCTGGAGCTGTAGGAGGTGCTAGGAGGCTGTAGGTGTTACCCAAGAAGGATGAGGAGGTTAGTGGTCAGATATATGTGTCATATGTATGATGGGGATGGCCCACCTACCAGCTGCAGAGGTCCCCATGCCAGGCCTGTGTGTGGTCTCAGTTGCCATGTGCCAGGTGTGTGCAGGGCACATGGTCACGTGTGCTGGGAATGGCACGTGAGTGTGTCAGTATCTCCTCCCCATCACGAGCGTGGGGGTGGTGGTGAGTCACGGGCTCAGCCTTCAGCGCCAACTGTCATGTTCCTTTCCCCCAAACTTCACCCCCATCCAGTCGCACACCACCCACCCCCACTAGATCTGTGTAGAGAGATTCTCCATCCCCCTGCCCTGCTCTTCTCCTGAGAGAGGTAGCAGAATGTTTCCTAGGAGAGAGTCCCCAGCTGTTTCTCCCCTTCAGGTCCCTGCCTGTGCACTGTCCACCTTTTCTGCAGCATCTCTTCTCTGGTTACCCGGGAATGGAATGAAGCCCTCTTCTCACACATCTCTGCGTGCCCCAAGGATTTCTCTGTGCAGTATGGAGAATTCCCATATTCGCTATGAGTGTTATTTCTATTTCTGGGTGCTTTCCCCTCATTTCCAAGGGTCAGCCACTCCGCCTCAGTGGGTGTCTTGTGTCTGTGAGCTACATCTTGTCTCTGTGGAACACTAGGTGTCCCTGGGCCTCTCCTCACCCTGTTTTTGTGACCTCCTCCATCTCTTTTGGATCTTTTCCCCCTCCTCTCTGCTCTGCCTTCTTGGTGCCCTTCTGCAGACTGCTCCCCATGCCCAAGAAGTGCTTTCCATCTGTGTGGGCCTCTTTTGTGTCTGGCCCATCTCCCATCTTCAGGAGCCTCTCTGTGTCTATAAGCTGCCCCTTGTCTCTGAGGTCCCTTTGCTGGCTTCTGTGGACCTTTCTCATTGGGGGCCTTTCTGGTCCTTGTCCTTGTGGGATTTGTGGGGGGTTTGGCCCACCTCTCTGGGTCTTTGTGGCTATCTTTTTATTTCTCTGCATTTTGCTTCATATCTGTAACCCTGTCTTCTCATCTCCACAGCCTTGTCCCCAGGTCTCCTCACTGCCTCTCTTTTCCCTGGGCTCCTGTGCCCAGGGCTGCCTGGGCAGGGCGGTGGCATGGTGTGGTGGAGGGGGTGGCCCGGGGGTGGGCCCTCCATCCAATGCAGCTCCGGCCTCTCATCAGCATTCTCCTCGCGCCCCCCCCCCCCAGCCCCTACCAACCGACCAATACGAGCTCCCCCTCCCCCGACTCCCCTCGCTCCTCGCTCTCTGCCGGCCTCCCTCCCTCCCTTCCTCCAGCCTGCCCTCCTCCCTGCCTCCCTCCCTCCCTCTACACCCCCCCCCCCAAGCGCGCTCCAGGACCCAGCGCGGGCGGCGGGCGGCGGGCGGCGGGCGGCAGGCGGCAGGCGGCGGCCTCTGAAGGGAGAAGGAGCGGTGGTGGCAGCGGTGGCGGCGGCCGGCAGCGGGCGGGCAGGCCCAGCTGGGGACACTGAGCCGGCGGCGGCTGCTCTCACAGGGGACAGGAGCCCGTGGCCCAGCCCTCCCTCCGAGGCCCTGTGAGGGCCGCCCCCGGGACACCCCACCCTCCTCCGCCTTCCTCTTCCACCTGCTCCTCTCCATCTCCTCCCTTCCCGCTCCGCCTCTCCCTCTCTCCACCTTGTCTGCCCCTTGCTCGGCCTCTCTGGGGCTGCCAGCGCCCCATCCTCCCCATCCTCTCCACTGTCTGGCCTTTCCCTGGCCCCAGCATGCTTTTTTCTTTGAGGCTGAGGGCTTGAGGACTCCAGTCCCTAACCCCCTCCAGGTTAGGGCTAAGGCTCTGGGGGGAGGGGGGGACGGGGTGACCCCCTCCCCCCCAAGAAACCCTCCCCTCCCCCACGTCTCCCGATGGCCGGCTTCCTTTTCTCCACCCAGTGCTCGCCCCCAGTGGCCCCCCCTGGCCGGCCTGGCTAGGGGAGGGGGCGGGGGCCCTTTCCCGGGCCGGCTTCCCCCTCCCCCGGCTTTGCCTGTGCCCCCCTCCCTTCCGTTTTCACCTTCCTCTCCTCCTTTCCTCTCTCCTTCCCCTCCATTTGCTCCTTCCCCCTCTCTTCTCTCCCTTTCTCTCCTCCATTTTCTCCTTTCCCCTTGCTTCCCTCCTGGCCCGCCCTCCCCTTTTCCACCTGTCCTTCCTCCCGGCTCCTCGGGAGCCACCGTTTTGGATTAGTCGGGGGCCACTGCCGGTGGCGGGGGAGGGGGCCCCGTGGACTGCCCTCTCCCCCTGCCCCACTACACCGTCACCCAAAGCCAGAGCCAGAGCATCTCCGTGGTCGTTCCTCGGGCCTCGAGGGAGCCCAGCCCTCCGTCCCACCAGGATCCGTGAGTGTCTGCAGGGCGGGGATCGGGTTGGGTCCTGGGTCCTGGGTCCTGGGTCCTGGGTCCTGGAAGGCAGGGCTCACTCCCCACCGGCAGGGTCCCTGAATTCCCTGTTCCCCAGATGGCAGGAACCTCACCGACTAGGGGCCTGCTTCCTGCCCTCCACCCCCCTCCCCAACCTGCATTCACTGCGACCGACCTTTTCGCACCCCTTCTTGTGAGTACACAGTTCACACCTGGCCTACTCGCTCAGCTTCCTGGGGTCTCAGGGGGTGACCAGCTGTTAGCGGTGTGACACTTCTCTGGGGCTCCCAGGGGGTCCCTGCCACTGCTTTCTCCAAGCCCTGGGTCACAGTCCCTGACCTGCTGCTGCTCACTGTTTCAGTCTCAGTCTCTCTCTCTCTCTCTCTCTCTCTCTCTCTCTCTCTCTCTGTCTCTCTCTCCCTCTCATCTTCTCTGTCCCCATCACATCCCGCCTGCCTCCTCAGAATGTCTTTTCTGCTTTTGAGTGTTCATTTCGGGTGTCTCTCGGACCTCTCTTTGACCCTGCCCGACTCCTTTCTTCTTTGCTGTTAGCATAACCATGTCTCTGTGGTCAGTTTGTGCCTCTGTTAAACTCTCACCCGTCTCTCTTGGAGGTGTCCATGCCCAGCCTAACCAATCTTTCTACCTCTGTTTTCCCGGTCCTTGCTTCTTTTTCCAGCTGAGCCTGAGAGGCTGAGAGACTGGCTTTTGCCTCGCTTTTCAGCTTCCTCACCCTGACCCACTCTGAGTTCCTAGCCCCTTCCTCACTCTGTAGATACCTCTCCTCATTCCCCGTGGTCCTGTCTTCCGTGCTGTCTCCCTACTTCTGCATTACCCCAGTGGCCGTTGTGTTCCCATTCCTGCCCACAGCCGGGAGTTTGCAGGCTCTGGGATCTTCTGGACCTTGGCAAGCATCCCTGGTATTTGCCGGGTGGTTGCACCTCTCTGTGGGCTGCCTGTACCCCCTAGCATGTTCACTCTTTCTCCGTGCCTCAGTTTTCCTCCCAACTCTCCTTGTTCCTGTCCTCTGGTCGGTAAGCCCATCTCTCTCACCTTCATGCTTTTCCATTCACGCCCTCTTGCCCCTTCTTCTTCTTCTTAGGCTGCTGTGCAGCTCCAGCATTCATTCTCATCCCCTGGCCATCTTCCTTAGGTTAGTCCTCTTTTCAGAGTTTCGTTGCTTCACTCCTCATGGCTCTTGCTCTTGCTGTTATTTATCATTTTGGGGAGGGCCTCTCCCTCACCTTATTTGCCTCCTCATCTTTGCTGTACCTTTGGTGATTCCCCAAACTCCTGTAGGTCCCCTACCTCGGCCTGTCCGCTCTTTGGTTGACCATGTTTATCTGACTTGGCCTGGGCTCCAGGTCGGTGAGCCCCAGGCCTGCTTAAAGCCCTTGCCCTCCTCTCTCACATGCTCTGTCTGCTCTTTGCCTCTTTAGGTTTCACTTCGAGGGCGTGCTTCTCTGGCCCTATTTAGCCCCATTACCACTTTTGTGTAATGCATGCCTTTCTGGTTCTCTGTATCCATTCGCCGTACCCAGCCTGCACTGTTTCTGTTCGGTTTCTACCTATGCTTACCACCTGTGGGTCCCTGCCCTTCTGTTTCTTCTCTCTGGGTCTTTCTGTTTCTGCTCTCTGCTGCCCATTTGCCTCACATATCCAAGGATGACCCACCTCCCTTCCACCCTCTCCTGGGCCTTTTCTCTACTTTTTCCCTGAGAGCTCTCTCTCTGGCTCACCCAGTGTGGCTTGCGCTTCCACTCTTGACAAGCCTCCACCTTAGGTATGATTTACAGTCTGCAGACACTAGCCTGTCCAACATACCCTCCTGCCCCCAGCCTCTCCTTTTCAGAGACCAAGAGAGTGGTGACTTGCTCAAGGTCACACAGTGAAGCATGGGGGCACAGTTGGGACTTACAGGGGTCTCCTGTTGCCCTTGCCTGGGCTTTCCTGGCCATGTTTGATGATCTGAGGTATCCACTTGCATCTTTGCTTGTTCCTAGCAGTTCTCATTCTGGCATCTCATAAACCTAAGTCCTCTTTCTTTGGGGACTAAGTGGGGTGCAGGAGGATGTGAGGCTCACCTTATAGCATTCTGGGCCAAACAATAACTGTTTTTATGGAAACGCAAGTATTCAGTCCTTTGGGGCGCAGCCCTCTGGCAAGGAAAACTGCATAAACATCTGGTCAAACTCACCCTGCCCAGGGATTCCTCTGCAGAAGGCCAGGTGCATCCAGAGCATTCCCTCTACCTTAGCAATCCTTCACTCTCTGTGGTGGAGATTTGTGGAAAGATTTGCACACTGTCTTTTTCTTCCTGAGATCCCCTGAGCAGGGTGGGGGCAGCAGTTTGACATGCACTTCTGGCAGGCAGCTCACTTCTAGCCATACTCACTTTCTTCTGACTCTTGTTTATTGCATTGTGGGTTAGTGTCTCTCTTCGGACTCCGTCTTCATCTTCTGTGTCTTGATGTCCTGTTGGTCAGGCAGCCTTGTTGTCTTTTTCTCTCTGCTCTGCACTGTCTGTATCTGTACATCTCATCTTCTGCCACTTGCTTCTTTCTCTCTCTTAGCCCCATTCCTAGCTCCCTGCAACTCTTCTGTTTCTCTCCATTTTAATCTACATATTCCTGTACCATTATATATTTGCATGGTTTTTGTTTCTTCTTTCCTCTAAGTCTGTCTTTTGTGTTCTGTTATTTCCTCTTCATTTTACTTTGGGTCATTTTACTTTACTTCATTGCTACTTTGGGTCCATTCATCTGTATGCCTTTCTCTTCCTTTTTTTCTTTTTCCATCTTTCCCTAAGTTTTTTAAGTCCTGGATACTCTTCTACCCCATCCCCCAGACCCCGGATGTCTAGGCTTCGCTCCCCATGGGATTATGGG